ATTGTAAAGCAGCTTCCACAGAACTAATCATAAACTAGTACATATGCTCACCACCATTCTACGATGTTCTAGTTCATGTATCGTGCTATCGTGACTCTGACCAGCATAGGTCGCTTTGACAGTTCTTGTATTGTTAAACTATTACAGCATTGGTGGTGGGAAAAAATCCTGACTAACATTACGGTAGAAAGTGTACAATCTATGGAAAAGTTGTAAGATTGGCATAATATTTTTACACTGAAAATCTGTTCATAAGATGTGTGTTTCGGTTGTCATGGTAACCATCATGTCTCAACGAGCATTGTGAATCGTACACAAGTTTCTATAGCTGTTTATCAATATCTATTTGTATTGAATCCATGTCAGTATTAAAATACCTTATATTCCCGCCAAACGAATGAACTGTGTCGGCTATTGTTTATTCCAATTCTTTATTAAGGTGTCGGCTAGAGAGGAAGGCATAAATTACTTTTCGTGAAACGAAAATATGATTTTTATTTTTAGGTATTAATGGCTATTACATGTACTAGTATCAGCTAACTAAAGGCTGTTTATTGTCAAAGGCTTATATATGTAACATTACTTAATTTTAGGAAAGTAGTAACTTATAGGTGGGGCAACCTAAAATTCTGATGGCCAACCTAATTTTTGCCGTAGGTTGCCTATTGGGCAAACTGGTTAAAAAAAAGTGTTTTTTACACTGCATGTATACGTGTATGTCAATGTATAGGTCGCGATCTGACAGCTGATTCTACCGGTAAAAATACCTACCCTCTACCAGGCATCGGGAGCCGACAACTGGAAAGAGTAGAAATCCGTCAAATAGAGAGATAACATGTCGGGGCATTTGGTTCGATAGAAAGTACAGTTTGCCGGCACCCAAGCTGTACTTTCTCGCGGACCAACTTCCTCGGCATGTTGTCTCCCTATTTGACCGATCTCTACCCTTTCCTGCCGTTTCCCGAAGCCTGGTAGAGGCTAACAGATACCCACAATAGTACGTCCACTTTATATGGAGGTAATTAACAAGGGATAGTTACTAAAAGATTTGACGCAGATTTGAAATCTCTTAATTTCTTGTTTCTTAAAGGTCCAACGTATACGTATGTAATAATACGACCAACCATGAGTTGCACAAAAGGTAACTAACCCTACCATACCCCCCTATCGTTTATCAATGGAACATTCCGGAAACTCCCAGACGCCCGCCCAACAGGTGAGGTCATACCTGGACACACTTCCGCTCGCAGCGGTGCCAGTCGCTGGTAGGAACCACTACTTTTACCTGCAACCTGAGGATCAAGAGGGTTTTTTTGTCCTGCAATAAGACTATTATTCTTCATCCTTAGAAGTAATGACAACAACACTGGGCTAAGAAGACTGAAAAAAGGTGCGTAACGTTATCATATGTTGACTACGTGCCGCAATGTACGTCAGAAAAAGTACTATACCCCGACATTATTACTGGCCAATCTAAGAAGCCCGTTGAACAGATCCACAGATCTACAGATTGCCCTGCAATAAGGCTATGATGAGAACAACACCAGGCTAAGAAAGACTGAAAATGGTGTTGTACGTTACGTAATACATACATGTATGTTGACAAACGTGTCGCAATGTACGCCAGAAAAAGTACGATACCCCGACATTATTATTGGTCAATCTAAGACGCCCGTTGAAAACACGAGGAACAGATCTACAGATCGCCCTGCAATAAGGCTGTTAACCTTCATCCTCAGCTGTATTGAGAACAAGAAGACTTTAAAAGATGTGTTACGTTATACATGTATGTTGATTAACGTGCCGCAATGTACGCCAGAAAACTACTATACCCCGACATGATATTCATCAATCTAGGACGCCCGTTCTACGGTATCTAAACACGACAACACGACTCGACAGCGTGGTCAGCCACATTAAAACAGCCCAGAGTCAAATTAATGCTTTGCCAAGATTCGGAATGCAACGAAGAGGAAAGCCTGCCTGTTGTATTCCAACGCATATGTTTTGGAATAACACCTTTTGGAATGCATCACGTGTTGCCAGGTAACGGTAGGGGAATCCCCTGACTCACAGGTAAATCCGCTGACGCTGGGCTCGCTTGGCGAGTCAATCGGTAGTTATATTAAGAAATGACCGCGCCTTTAATATGACACCATAAGCACCTGTGGGTGGGTCATTATAATTAACCCTTCATTAAAAACTTTTAAGGATATGCGATTATGATAATTAGCTGATTCTTTACAGAATGGCTACAAGCCAGAGTGAGGTGTCAGACAGCAGCGTGACAACACAGGACGGCGATGACAGGTTTGCCACTTACTCGCATTAGGCAACAAGTGTAATTCACAATGTGAATTACACTTGTTGCCTAAATTGTCAAGTTCCCTACCTTGCTAGACTGCTGAATGATTCGAATACAGCCTGATTGTGCAGTATTAAGATTCCAATTGTTGTTAAATGCTGTTCGTAATTATGAGTATTTCTAGTGTAATTAAGAATTGTGATCTTAAGTACATGTAAAAGAGTGTGTAATTCAGTCTGCAGACTGTGAAATGCTTCTTCTTGTTTTACTACTTCGAATAAACCATTCATAAAGAGGCCCTTTGGGTTTTTATGCCCGATCGACTATATACGGCAACAATAAGTTTGAGCTTCTATAATGTTATGCATGGATTTGAATTTCTTAATTTACAATTACACTTGATATTTATGATACTTGAAGTAGTTTATGTTTACTTGGATATATGCTTTACCCTAAAATAGGTATGATTAGCATGAGTACATTTTGTAATGGTTTGTCGTTTATTTCTTTAATTTTATTCACATGGATTTATGAGCATTAGATAGCAAGCACATATGTACAAGAACATGAAACATGCAAAATAAAGATTGTTTATATGTTGTTTATATCATATCATAATTATGGCAACCATATTTGCCACAGTTTATACGAAGAACATCTGCAAAATGGCTCCAGAGCCCTGGAGACTGGAGACTTGGACAAGGCAGAACGAAGCTTTGCATCGGCAATCAGGTCTGTTCATGTCAAAGGTAAGTGTTGTTGGGTATGAAATATGTTTTTGTCCACAAATTGAATTTTACTGTGAACCTGTTGTCTCTCTCTCTATATCATCATTCGTCATCAAGATGTTAAAAAAAAAAGTTTAAATCTTTGTTCGCTCATCAGCTATTAAAAAAGCTTGAAGTGTGTAGGTTTATTAGAATGAACAATGCCACAACGTCAGCGATACAAAAAAGAAATCTTAAAGTATTTCAATAATATAGCACTTAACAATTTGAATCGAAAGAAAATAACGTCAGATTACCACCGATAACTTGAATATCAATAATTTTTCAGGCCAACACAAGAAAGAGCTAGAGGCACAGCCCCTGTACAGGTTAAGTGACATCTATCTTAAGAGAGGAGTCGAGTCAAAGGAGGGGGGAGACTTCACCAAGGCTGCAGCACTCTGTAACGCAGCACTGGTAAGAGCTAGGACAGAAGATGCGGAGGGAACTATACAGGAAATAACTCAAGTATTTGTGAAGGAAGTCCTGAAGATTAAACAGAAGGTAGACATTGATGATACAGAGAAGCACAAATTTATGTTGAAGACTGATAGGGACTACGTAGAAACAGAAATTAAAAGAATTGACAAAGACTCAGAGATAGATCCTTATAGCCTTGATGACGAGGACCCAAAGATAAAAGAAGTGGAAATGAAGAGAGTAGAAGCGATCAAAGCTTTGTTTCAGGCACTTGTTGGTAAACGTAATATGTTCATAGCTGGTCTTGTAGATGAATGTATTAAGGTGATGGGTCCCCCTCCCTGTAAGTACGCCATGATGGGCCTGGGGTCACAAGCCACGGGATTGGTCACACCATACTCTGATGTGGAATTCGCCATTTTGGTAGAGGAGGAAACCGAGCATAATGTCACCTATTTCCGCAACCTCACTCACTATCTGCATCTCAAAGTGATCAATCTGGGAGAAACCATTCTCCCGGCCATGGGGATTAAGTCTCTGAATGATTTCTACTCAGACGACCCCCTGGACAACTGGTTTTATGATTCAGTGACACCGCGCGGTTTTGCTTTCGATGGAGCCATGCCGCACGCATGTAAGACTCCATTGGGCAGGGGTAGAAACAGCACAGGAACAAGCGAACTCATCCGCACACCAAGCAACATGACCAACATTCTGACAGACGACCTTACGTTCCATTTAAAGAAAGGCTACCATCTCGCCAGTATATTGGGAAATGTGACTTTTATCACAGGAGAACAGGGATTGGTCAGTGAGTATAGGTCTTTGTGGACTCAGCAACTTCTAAAAAATGAGAGGAAAGTTCCACTGTTAATGGCAATTACTGTACTGGTTGATAATGTATCGACCTTTCAACATCAGAGTCTCACAGCTAGTCTGATGAATGTAAAGAAAGATTTGTATCGATTTTCGAGCCTTGCAGTGTCCTTCTGGGCGCTACTGCATGACAAACAGCCAACCACTATTTGGGAGACTATTCAAGAGATGAAAAACAGTGGAGTCATCAAAAATGAGAATGCACACCACTTACTGGTCATGGTCAGTATCTCAGCAGAACTAAGGCTGCGGACTTACATGAGCAATCGTGGTCAGGTTGAAAATATGTCAGCCTTGTCATCTATGTTAACCGAAACAAGCATTGGGGAGACGTTGAAGAAAGTGTTTTACGTGTCAAATACAAAGCAACTATTAAGGTATTATTACACAGAAAGACCACTTAAACGCCTTATTTCCAAGCTGACTGACCCTCGTCAGCGTTTTGAAGAGTCTTCAATCTTCTATGATGATTCTCCAGAACTAAAAGCTGAAGTATTCCAACGTCTGTGCGATTTCCAAAACTTTAAGGTCTACACAGAGCAGGCACTAGACAATTATCTATCTAGGCATGGCAAAAACACTGTAGATGGGAATGTCATCAACTTACTTGACAAATTGGGTAACGCCTGGACCAACCTTGCGGATTACAGTAAGGCGGTCAGCTATTACGAACAGTCACTACAGATGATGCGGAGTATATATGGCGAAGGCACTGAACATTCTGATATTTCCGCCTCACTTAACAACTTGGGTACCGCCTGGAGAAACCTTGGGGATTACAGGAACGCAATAAGCTATCACGAACAGTCACTACAGATGAGGCGGAGTATCTATGGTGAGGGCACCGAGCATTCTGATATTGCTGACTCACTTAACAACTTGGGTGAGGCGTGGAGAAATCTTGGGGATTACAAGAAGGCGGTCAGCTATTACAAACAGTCACTACAGATAAAGCGGAGTATCTATGGCGAGGGCACTGAGAATTCTGATATTGCCGTCTTATTTAATAACTTGGGTAATGCCTGGAGAAAACTTGGGGATTACAGGAAGGCGGTCAGCTATCATGAACAGTCACTACAGATGAGGCGGAGTATTTATGGCGAGGGTACTGAACATTCTGATGTTGCCGGCTCACTTAACAACTTGGGTAACGCCTGGGGAAACCTTGGGGATTACAGGAAGGCGGTCAGCTATCACGAACAGTCACTACAGATGATGCGGAGTGTCTATGGCGAGGGCACTGAGCATTCTGATATTGCCACCTCACTTAATAACTTGGGTGGTGCCTGGAGCAAGCTTGGGGATTACAGAAAGGCGGTCAGCTATTACGAACAGTCACTACATATGAGGCGGAATATCTATGGTGAGGGCACTGACCATTCTGATATTGCCGACTCACTTAACAACTTGGGTGCGACCTGGAGCAACCTTGGGGATTACAGGAAGGCTGTCAGCTATTACGAACAGTCACTACAGATGAGGCGGAGTATATATGGCGATGGTACTGAGCATTCTGATATTGCCGCCTCACTTAACAACTTGGGTGAGGCGTGGAGCAATCTTGGGGATAACTGGAAGGCGGTCAGCTATCACGAACAGTCACTGCAGATGATGCGGAGTATATATGGCGAGGGTACTGAGCATTCTGATATTGCCGCCTCACTTAACAACTTGGGTGAGGCGTGGGGCAATCTTGGGGATAACAGGAAGGCGGTCAGCTATCACGAACAGTCACTGCAGATGAGGCAGAGTATCTATGGCGATGGCACTGAACATTCTGATATTGCCGCCTCACTTAACAACTTGGGTAACGCCTGGGGAAACCTTGGGGATTACAGGAAGGCGGTCAGCTATCACGAACAGTCGCTCAAGATGAGGGGGAGTATCTATGGCGAGGGCACTGAACATTCTGATATTGCCGACTCACTTAACAACTTGGGTAACGCCTGGAGCAACCTTGGGGATTACAGGAAGGCGGTCAGCTATTACGAACAGTCACTACATATGAGGGGGAATATCTATGGCGAGGGCACTGAACATTCTGATATTGCCACCTCACTTAATAACTTGGGTGGTGCCTGGAGCAACCTTGGTGATTACAGGAAGGCGGTCAGCTATTTCGAACAGTCACTACAGATGATGCGGAGTATATATGGCGATGGTACTGAGCATTCTGATATTGCCGCCTCACTTAACAACTTGGGTGAGGCGTGGAGCAATCTTGGGGATAACAGGAAGGCTGTCAGCTATCACGAACAGTCACTGCAGATGAGGCAGAGTATCTATGGCGAGGGCACTGAACATTCTGATATTGCCGCCTCACTTAACAACTTGGGTAACGCCTGGAGAAGCCTTGGGGATTACAGGAAGGCGGTCAGCTATCACGAACAGTCGCTCAAGATGAGGGGGAGTATATATGGCGAGGGCACTGAACATTCTGATATTGCCGGCTCACTTAACAACTTGGGTACCGCCTGGAGCAACCTTGGTGATTACAGGAAGGCGGTCAGCTATTACGAACAGTCACTGCAGATGAGGCGGAGTATCTATGGCGAGGGCACTGAACATTCTGATATTGCCGCCTCACTTAACAACTTGGGTGAGGCGTGGAACAACCTTGGGGATTACAGGAAGGCGGTCAGCTATCACGAACAGTCACTACAGATGAGGCGGAGTATCTATGGCAAGGGAACTGAACATTCTGATATTGCCGGCTCACTTAACAACTTGGGTACCGCCTGGAGCAACCTTGGTGATTACAGGAAGGCGGTCAGCTATTACGAACAGTCACTGCAGATGAGGCGGAGTATCTATGGGGAGGACAGTGCCCATCCTGCTATAGTCCGCTCGCTGAACAACTTGTGCGTCGCCTGGAGAGACCTTGGGGATTACAAAAAGGCCATCGAATATTTACACAAGAAGAAACAGTTGGAACAGATAATCGGATCCCCAGCTGAGTAATCAGTACAAACATGCCCCATTTGTATCAGCTGTGTATAACGTCCTCTACCAATGTTGGTATACGTTTTGTAAAGAGAACAGATTATGGGCCTAAAAACACAGCGCCATCACACTGGACTGTTAGGCACTAATACTACAATGTAATCTGTGGCGTACGTAGAGATCGACACATTTAGTTAAAAATATAATATATATTTTTATGATAAGTTGAACTTCATTAGCAACATCTTATCATCCCGCCGATGAGTCCCCTGACAGGATTTATACACATACGACACGTGTTGTATAGGTCTAAAGAAACATTTGTGTAGTGATTTGTTGCTCTCCAAGCAGAGGTTTGGGTTTTTGGTTATTTCTTGCGTGTTTTTAGGCTTTTTAATTGGGGTTGGTGTTTTGCAATGGCATTTGGGGAGGAGGTTGAAAACATTTTAGTGCAAAAGAAAAACGATAACAAAAAGCCTAAAACACTCCAAAAATAACCTACTAATAATGATTTGTACATTTTCAATGTTTTGTAATGTTAGATATCTTTCTTAAAAGGTGATGGGGCCACTCAGAGGTAAAATGTACTTACTAAAGTGCAAGTGGTATTTTGTAGATATGTCCTATAATTTTAACAACTGAAGGCCTTGTTAATGGATACATTTAGGTGCACAGTTAATGACGGTTAGGTGCACAGTTGTTAGGCTTGCATCATATCAATATTAAATTATA